TGAGATGTGATTTTGCCGGTCCGGTCAAAGTGTACTATGGAATGTGCAGGCCCACCATCGAATTTTCTGACTTCTTCAACAATAAGCTGTGATCGGATAGTGCGCACTCAAGTGAACCTGGAGAACTGGTTCTAAATAGCATCGAAAAAGGACGCTATGAATTTCTCTTTCAGAGTCAGCAAGAGTGGAAGATTTGATGGCGTCACCGAATCCACCCGTCCTTGTCGACGTAAGCTGCGTCCCCTATACCAACCTTGAATCGGATTACCTCAAAGGTTTTGTCCTGCCTAAGTGACCAAACGGCTAAATGTTGAACCACTAGCCAGAATGTTGCGGGTTGAAAACTCTATGAGTTTCTTGAGGCACACACTACTGCTTATGTCCAACAAGGACGAAGCAGCTGTATAGTGGTTGTAGGCTTTTCAGTAAAGATTGGTTTCGCTGATATGACAAGACTTCTGCCGAACACTTTTGAAGGATTCAATTGAGCTGATTCTACTGAGGTGATGCTATTTAAGTGATTCTATCTATTAACTGGGTTCCACCCGGTTTTACTCGATCTTTCTTTGAAAATGCACCATTAGGAACGCCTTGCATGCAAAAGGAGGGAAAATCCTGCACGTGATGCCAATCATTTCTGAAATGATTATAGACAGTGTGAGCTCATGCGTCCAAATTGCGAATTACTGGCAGTGCATACCTTGCAGAACTTCTTGACTGGACGTCGAGCATCTTATCCTCAGTCAGCCTCAGGTCACCTATCGACAAATTGCACTTAGACCAGATAAGTATCACTTTTCTTTGAGCCACTTTGTTCATGTCGTATAGAGTGGTGTCGAAGGAAGAATCAGGTCTCGATTTGGGCCAACTCCAGTGTGTGTGACCACTTGAGGGCAGTAGACAGCCGGACTGGTTTTCGGAAAATGGTTAGTTTTTTTATATGTTAGTGCCCTAGTTGTAACCTAATTAACTTGATTAGTGAAAAGCACTAACTAATGTCTGTTTTACCAGAATGATAATGATTATAATAGTAAGGTGCACCTGATAAAAATAATTATAGTAAAAAAGTGGAATATGCCTAAAAGTGACTAGCCGTTTGAGGATAACTGTTGAAAGTTCTTGAGGGAAGCTCCGGATGCGGGACGTGTTTCTCTACAGGATAGCTCGCACATGTGGAGATTTGTTGAGCTGGAATGACTTCCTGTCCTGTGCGTGTGCGTGTGTATGTGTTCTAGGCTGAGTTGAATGCCTATTTATTGTGTGCAATGTGAAGAGAGGAGGGTCCATCCTTGTTTGATAGTTGCACGAGCATGAATAGAACTTGAACTGATGTGGTTGAAGGTCGCAAGCCCAGAGCGTGATGCAGGTGATAGCAGCGTGAAAAATAGTTGATAAATTGCACTGTAAATTTTATCGGTTAAGGTTGAATGTGGGACAGGAATTGTTAAGTGATTTGGGTGTATATGATGCGTGATCTAGTGAGTAACCGCTACATATTCAAACAATCGGCTGACAGTGACAGCTCTTTTTCCCGTAAATGTTAGGGAAAGTAGATGGAATTTTGAATGCACTTGCTGTTGGTTAGATTCTTCATCTTTTAAAATTATCTGCCAATGGTTGGCAAACCTTTGAATTAAATATACAGTTTTCAGCTGACAGAACTCAATTTGATACCGATGAAACCACATATGCTAACCGCAGAGTCCTGTCAGGTAGTGGATCAGACTTACGTGATCGAGTAGAAGGTCCTCAGGTTTTTTTGGGTTACTTCCTTAAAAACCACGAACTCGCTTTTTCCACTGAAGGGTTATGTTTGAACCGAGCATCCAAAGTTGTATTAGATCAGAAGAAGAGGTCATTAGATAATTGTGTCAGAGGACGCAATACGCGCTTATAATGATTTCTTGCAAGTTCCGGCCTTTACTGAGTAGTTGGCTAGGCCACAGTACTCAGCGAATAAGTCCGAAAACAGGTAATTAGTGGCGTTTTTGCAGCGACAAGGATTTCAGCTGCAGCGGTTTGGTGTCAGTATATCTTGCAGTTTTTTAATGCCAAGAACGGAGGCCCCCTGTTGCTACCATGAGTTATGTGATTGATCATCTTGTTTCCTTAATGAGTTTATTTCGAGTGGGATCATTGTGGGCTCACTGCGCTAAAAACCAACTCATTCAAAAATCAAAAGCTCGCCTACTAATACTGTACTTTAGGGTAAAATGACACATTGAAATCTTCGAACGCCAGATAGAGGTCGGAATTCGTCCACTTAACCTCACCGACTTAAAGAGGGTCCATCCTTGTTTGATAGTTGCACGAGCATGAATAGAACTTGAACTGATGTGGTTGAAGGTCGCAAGCCCAGAGCGTGATGCAGGTGATAGCAGCGTGAAAAATAGTTGATAAATTGCACTGTAAATTTTATCGGTTAAGGTTGAATGTGGGACAGGAATTGTTAAGTGATTTGGGTGTATATGATGCGTGATCTAGTGAGTAACCGCTACATATTCAAACAATCGGCTGACAGTGACAGCTCTTTTTCCCGTAAATGTTAGGGAAAGTAGATGGAATTTTGAATGCACTTGCTGTTGGTTAGATTCTTCATCTTTTAAAATTATCTGCCAATGGTTGGCAAACCTTTGAATTAAATATACAGTTTTCAGCTGACAGAACTCAATTTGATACCGATGAAACCACATATGCTAACCGCAGAGTCCTGTCAGGTAGTGGATCAGACTTACGTGATCGAGTAGAAGGTCCTCAGGTTTTTTTGGGTTACTTCCTTAAAAACCACGAACTCGCTTTTTCCACTGAAGGGTTATGTTTGAACCGAGCATCCAAAGTTGTATTAGATCAGAAGAAGAGGTCATTAGATAATTGTGTCAGAGGACGCAATACGCGCTTATAATGATTTCTTGCAAGTTCCGGCCTTTACTGAGTAGTTGGCTAGGCCACAGTACTCAGCGAATAAGTCCGAAAACAGGTAATTAGTGGCGTTTTTGCAGCGACAAGGATTTCAGCTGCAGCGGTTTGGTGTCAGTATATCTTGCAGTTTTTTAATGCCAAGAACGGAGGCCCCCTGTTGCTACCATGAGTTATGTGATTGATCATCTTGTTTCCTTAATGAGTTTATTTCGAGTGGGATCATTGTGGGCTCACTGCGCTAAAAACCAACTCATTCAAAAATCAAAAGCTCGCCTACTAATACTGTACTTTAGGGTAAAATGACACATTGAAATCTTCGAACGCCAGATAGAGGTCGGAATTCGTCCACTTAACCTCACCGACTTAAAGAAATCCGTAAGCAAAATGGAACGTGATTACCAGGTTAGACTAAACGCTAGGTTATCACAGTAGCGATTCAACCAAGAAGGCCTTGTACACTGTAACGTGGCCTACAAGAGCCATGTACATTTGGCAACGATAGAAACTGAAACTGTGAAGAAGGGAACCTGAATCAACTTTTGTCTGCTTAAAACTGTACATCCACTGGGCGACGTGGAAACGTGCGCGAGACTTAGAAGATGGAAGAAAACTGGCCAAAAAACAAAAATGTAAATAAAAGACCATACAAAGATTTCAGTAAGGCGCAGATTTTAGTAATGCCCAGGGTATACGGCATCAAACCATATCGCAAGTTTCTGCTCGTCAAAATCATGTAGAAAAGAAAACTTGATCTAAAGAAACGATGCGTGGACGGTTTTGCAAGTTTTTCTAAATAAACGCTTCACGTGAGTTTTCATACACAGCCAAAATAGGGAGTTTAGAGGGTAGGAGGGGCGAATTCTTGACGTATCCTAGGGAATCGAGCTGGCTTAGTAACAGTTTTCTCGCAAACGAGCAAGCTATTTTTCCCACGCGCTGATACCCCTCTCTACACTCGTTGGATAGAAGATCTCTAACCTTTTTTAAAGTTCCTTCACTAGTGAATCCACAGGCTTTTTTAGAAGTATAGTACCAGTCGACTGAAAGATGTCTTCGGTCATAGGTGTCCTTTGAAAGCAGACCTTCGAAGTAGTGGTAACACTTCAAAAATCACCGTACATTTGGGTTTGTTCTATCCTGTTGTGTCGATTCCCCTATGTGAAACTTAATAGATTTTCATCATGGCTTCTAAAAGCACTTAGTAGGATTAAGGAAAAAGCCTATTAGGATGGCATTTATGGAAGTAGAAAGGAAAGGTTAAATGAAGGAAATAAGAGAAACTAAGGTACGATTGAACCTTCTGTAAGAGGTACACGTTCAAATGCTGTTCACCAGGGAAGATAATCGCGGGGCGTGATGTGCTTCTGCGTCGTCAGTCCTGGACCGTCCTCGCTCCATGGCGACCTTAAGAGATTCAATTACAATCATACTAGCACACCAAAGAAGTTTATTTCTTCGTGAGCATTTTGGGGAGTATAACTATGATACCAACATTCAAAGAGATTTCTAGTTTGAGCTGGTGGAAGTAAGTGATTCTACACATCCCACTATGATGACGATTAGTAGCCCCACAGAAGCATTGATTGTTATTTCAACCAGCTTCTCGTAGCTGGAAGACGGCTAAGTGATACGTTGCAGCAAAGATTGAGCTCGGATAATCGTCTGTTCGAGTTTCAATCCATCGCTTTCTAGATTGTATTATCAAATAAAAGAGTGATCACATCACTGCCTGTGGACATCCAGGAGTTTGCCTCCCGGATACTATTGCTTACTTGATATTTTTTATTCTTTTTTCGGTTGATTTTGAAAGCAACTTCCGGATTGCTAATGTATCCGGTGGAACCGACAGTAGCCTGTGTTTTGTCTGGCCTTTAAGAGCGAAACAGGACTTGTTAAGACCGTTTGAAAACCATACTCATTCAGGAGGCACAAGAAGCCAAAAATCTTGACTACTCCGTGGATACAAGTGACCCTTAAGAATGGCAGTGCAATACTATGTGGTGGAGAAAATGATAATACGCTAAAGCCAGGAGAATCGACAGGTAATGCTGATAACTCGATGAAAACCAAGCCCATGATACCTGCGTTTGGTAATGTGTTGAAATATCTGTAACTCGGGTAAGTTCATTGGCTGTTGATCTGTTCGCCAAGCTTGGCAACTGCCTTGCAAACGTTTCGCCACCACACGAAGAGACATCATCAGTGCACAGTTGGGTGGACACTGATGATGTCTCCTCGTATGGTGAAGAAATGTTTGCAAGCCAATTGCCAAACTCGGCGAACAGATCAACAGCCACATGATCAACGACCAATACTTGCTTTTTTGATGCTGCATCATGTTTAGGCTAACTAAATACCTCTGATTCCTTGCCGCCGACTTCATTGCCTCGAGTCCACGTTCGCAAGAAGTGCCTACATTCAAATACATCTAAATCATTTACGGTTTACCAGCTCTACGCAAGCACATGGTCGCTCCGCCAAACGTGACCAGCAAATTCGCCACAAATACCAGGCGCCCTTATATGTTCCCACAATCACCTGTTTCTGGTTTGGCAGGTTCATTAGATCTTTCAGGCCCAAATATATATTTTCGCCTTTTTGTAATTTTCCGTACTCAGAATTAGATTTTGGAATTTTAAGTTGAAAACAAGTGGACACGTGTTTGGAGCTCCAAAATATCTTGATTTTTTTTCAAGGAACAATGATGTTTGGTCTTCAGTTTAAATGAGTTTAGGTGGTTAAAATTTCCATGTCCTAATTTAAATTGGTGAAAATAATTAAAAAAAAATAATATTCTGAAAACGTGCCAATCGTAAAGTATTTTGTCTAAGGAATCTTCAAGTCAGCCGGTTAGTGTGTGCTTCTTAAAACTGGATTTTATACGAGACTCGTCGGTTCTAACCTCATGGCAGCACTCTGCTTCTATATGTAACACCACTGTATGGGAACGGAGTCATCTCCGTTCAGTGTTTCACACGGTGGAACAGTAACAGTGAAATCAATGCACGTGATTCACTCCATATGGATAGGCCGAACAAAAGAGTCTGACAAAAATGAGCTTGGGAACAAACAGATGTTGCCTGCGGCTGTGAGTTTTGAGCGTAGTGAGTAGTGAAGAGTCAATACTTATTTTACCATAGAGAATTGTTTTTCAGTTTGAGCAGCTCCCCAGGTGTCAGCCACTTGTCGGCAAGCCAGAAGCTAGTGATGAAAAGTTTGAGAGGACATCAATGCGGTTGTGTTTTTGAAGGCGTGACAGTTACACACAGTTCATGTTCATAAATTTGGCTGACTAGATTGAGATGGTCATTCCTTCTCTATGTAAAGAAATGCTTGTGATAGCTTCATGGTGTCGAGCAGAAGACCGTGGATCGTAAAATGAGTCCTAGGTGGGATTGTCCGAACTCATACCGTCTTAGTTGTAAAATTTCACACGAATGCATCCAAAACATAAACGCCACCTGCATAGACGTAAGGCACTACTCATAGAGTTGCTGAAAACTCTTCACCAGTCGACTACCGGTTTCGCCCTTCTTGAGGCGCATCAGTTAGGTCAAGTACCCGAGTCTCCTTCAACCCCAGGTTCTAATTGTACGGAATTAACGAAATACCCTCGTTTGCGTACCAATTTGGTTTTGACGGAAGACTCACCCGGAACCCAGCTAAATCTCTCGTTTATGGTGCTTTTAAGCCTGATGCAGTACGTTCAGTTGCTGAAACACATGAACAAGAGATTCAGCTGGAATCCAAGTGAGTTTCCCGTCAGGAATGAAGTGGCAAACAAATAAGTGTATGTTGCTAACAAATGTCACCAAATCTGCTCGAAGGAGATACAGGTTCTGTGGTAACTTTTTCAACAGCCCTTCTTAGGTCAAATTTTATGTCATGATGGTTTTATGTATGTGGTGCGAGAAGAGATTTTTTCTTTCAAAACAATAATGATGATAATAAAAATAGTAATAACGATACTGTTGATGACACCACAGCCATGCCTCTATAGATATCCGTCCTTGAGGCGACGGTCTTTAAATAGAGGGATCAGATGTTCCCATGTGATGAGAACTTTGCTGCCTTAGTTTCGTGCTAAAGATGGCTTAGTTAAATAAAGGGACTTGGGAATGAATATTTCCTTCATAGAGAGCAATTTTCATTAGCCGTTCTACCAAAAGCTTCCGTTGAGTAATGCTCTGGATATTCTTTTTTCATCAACAGTACGTTGGTTAAGAGAAACGAGCTTTTTGGAATCATGTCTTTTAACCTTCCCAAATGAAACCGTCAAATTCTCAAAAAGCAGGTGAGTTTTTAATGAGCGGTATTCGGTACCATTTCCGCTTACGTAGATATTCCACCTAATCGTTATGGATGCAACCCCTGTGCATTTACGCGATTTCCAACCAAGAGTAGATAGGCAAACTGATTCGTTTTTGTTCTCCTCAGTGACGTCTTTTCAGCAGGGCCAAAACATGGCTTTCACTGTCACCTGCACAATTTACTCGGGGTAGTCACGTTCCCTGGAAAATTCCTACTCCAGCACAGTATCACATATCTGCAGCTTTTTCCAGTCGACCTCGAAGGGAACCGGACGCTTGATTCGTCTCACCTAAAATCCTTTTCTAAGCAAACCAACCATGGGTCATGTAATTACCGATGGCTGGCCTTGCTTCTAGGTAAAGTGTTGGTAAATCTTGGCTGAAATGTACACAAGGATGATCAGATAGACCTGATTTACGCATAGTGATGGTGTGACACCCCCGGGCTTTCAACCGTAAACGTGGGCAGTGAATTGAACTCCCCACATCACACTTAAGTTTACCGATACAATGGTGCAACCACAGCTTTTCTTCCAAAATGTTGACACTGCACTGACCTTACCTGACTCACTACTAAGTTCTCTTTCTCATTAACGACGTTCTGCCCAAACCGATGTCGTGGTGGTTATTCGTGCAGGGTCTTGAATGTCATGGTCGTAAGGAAAGGCGTGGCAACATTTTCATACACAGGCTTCTTCCGTAGCCGAACGGTTGCAGTTTGAGATCCTGTTTCAACACGTGAACACACCCAACTGAACACCAAGCATGCAAACGTAAACTGTTCGCTGATAGCATTCAAACTCACCCTACTACCACTCACTTCGTTCGTGTAAATTGGTGTGACCAACTGATGAGGGATAGTGGACTAGCTTTTAGTCTGTCCATATGGTTGAAAACAGAATTCATCAATTTTGTTCGTAGTCACACCACTCTCGTTTGAACGGCCGTCCTCCTGTTCTGGCGTGATTATTCCGGCGAGTCCTCACCAAATGGAGGCACTGGACTCGAGTTTCGCTCTTTTTAGAGCTCATCAGCAGTGCATATCCGATGGCCGTGCCGGGATTTGAACCCCGGACATCTGACATTCGAGATGAGCGTGTAAACATTCATCCGTTGTTGTTCTCTAGGTAAGAGGACACAGAAATCGAGTACTGTGCCTAGAACTGCTATTCGTAGAGTGAGTTAGAACCATTGGGATACTGTGGAGTTGATACTATAACAGTGCCAATAGGACTAAATGTACATTCCAACAGACTGGTGGTAGCGTCGACATTTCGTAATACACGGACGTGACACAAGCACATTTGAAAGCCGACACAGAGGTCATTTCCAATAGTGCTATTCTTAGTGGCGGTGGTATTCTCCCAAGAATGAGATAGGTGATGGCATCTAGGGCAATAATACCAAGCCTTTTGTTTCTGGTACGTTTTTTCTGATGGTGCAGCATACTAAAAACTAACCGAAATTTTTCATTCACTGTCACCGAAGTTTTCTGACAGTCACATGGGTGAGTTCCAGAGGTTAGTATGAAATAGAGCACTTCCAAAACTGCACTTTGTACGCTTGTAACCAGCCAAAGGACGCTAGGTTTTGTTGGCTAGTTTATGCCAGCATAATGCTACGAAAAAATGTCCAGTATACAGTACTACTTCACCTCACTGAATGGCATTGATGTATCACAGGCCTCAATAAATATGGACTTTTTTCCGGGGAGAATTTCGAATATCAAGATCCGCACAACAACGTCCTTCTCGGAAAATAAAAAAACACGCTAATTTTATTATGACAGACCGAAAGTTCTCATTCTTCCATGATTTCATTCTAAACCCCTCAGATCACCTGAAATCCACCCAGGTTAGGAAGTCTTTTAACAGTTCTATCCGAAAAATTCAGGTGAAACATTGGGTTAGTCCAAATCAATGTTTCACCAGTCACACTGCAATGCAGGATCCATTGCATTGTTCCTGAGTTGTCACGTGTTCCAAACTAGTCGTTTGCCGTTGATCCACGGATATCCTAAACGTGTTACCTAAGGCAGAATGGCTATTATGTACTTCAGTTGGACACACCTGGGTTAATGTGACCAGAGTGATCTCACGGACATACTGGCGCAAATTACGGACTGCAGATGCCTCCGTCGGGCTATTTTAGCTTGCTCGCCATGTATGTGACCAAGGAGCCATTGGCACTGGTTTTGCATGAGACTTTTCAAAAGTATCGCTTAAAATCTGTCAAGAATTCTCTAAATACTGGTACCAATTAGCGGACAAGTATGTGGAAGCAAGTGCCACTGCAGACGTTGAGAGCCAATAATGAGGCCATCATCATTCACTTCCGTTATCACTACCACCACATGAAAATGCCTAAATCCGGTCAAAATGTAAATCCGGTTTTTCACCCGGCTTCCGAGCAGCCCAAACGACTCCGTAGCCGACATGAGGGGGATTTCATCCCAGGGAAGCTCAGTAACTTTTTACCTGATTTCATCCCTCTAAATCATAGCGTGCATTGTGACTGCCAAACTGAAGATCCCTCACCAATAACCCAAAAATTCCATGTCCTACTGGATCACTGGTCGTTTGCCACAGCAACTGCAAACAGACTCACTGGCTGCAACGAAGTTTGGAGGGACGTGGTAAACGGATACATAGGAAGAAAAGTAAGATGATAAGGTTGACGGAAACTCGGGGTCTGCGCCTACCTGATGAGCCCCAAGAAGGGCGAAACCGGTCGTGGGCTGTCAAAGAGTTTTCAGCAACCTTGTGAGTAGTTTCCTTTATGAAAAAAGGCTTAAAGCCTTTATCAACCGCGGCTGAAAATACCGCACAACCAAATAGTCCATTTCTAGTGTTAAGTGAGGCAGTGACGGCAAGATTAGACGGCTCTTGAAGGTAGTTTTTCAGTGCTTTCTCATAAACTTCACTTGAAAACTTGAGATTGAATAACAGTCTACATGAAAGGCGGTTTCCGCACATAAATAACAGTAATAATAATATCACAGAGATAAAACCTTTAGTGTAGTACGACTTCAGCTACCGCTTTTCAACTAGAAGTACCCACAATTCAGAATAACAGTCTGAACAAACGAAGGCAGATTAATCTCTTCACTCCCGGGTTTCTGCAGCATGACCTCGCATTTCTGAAATTTTGTTCGCTTCGTTATGTTGGGGAGAAATAAACGGAGAACAGCTTGGTAATTGATCAGATGGCTGTTGATCTGTTCACCGAGCTTGGCAATTGAGTTGCAAACGTTTCGTCACCATTCGAGGAAAAATCTTCAATGCGCTGTTGATTGGGTGGAGAACAGCTTATATACTATCACAGGACAAAACGGGGGAGGCGCAATGTGCCTCTGATAACTCTTGGTGTTACTTGAGAATGCGGATCATTCGTGGAAGGCTAGTAACAACGTTATGCTGAAACTCACCAAACAGATGTAGGTGACACCCTGGATGTCGGAATGCCCTTTCAATGAGAAGCCGAGTAGCCATTAAAAGCGCACTAGAGGCTACCACGGAATGATTTTAAAATGCTTCATCTATAGCCATTGGTTTTGCAGAGGCAACGTAGCTTCCAAATTCCTGAAATGGACGTACTTGTTTCAAAACTTCCGTTATCTTGTAGCAGTGTATAACGCACAACTTAGGAGGGACTTATTGTTTAGCTAAGCTTTAAACGTTGGCTTTGTGTGCAAACATCTTCATAGAATTAATGAACGTAGAAACTGAAGTTACCAGACCAGTAAAATACGATCTTGCTGGTCTGACTGATTCAGCCTGCCATTTCTCCGCTCACATAACTTGAAACACTAGACAGCGTGATCGGTCGAGACAAGTACAAATCGCTTTCTCCGTTTTCATTTCAGTAGTTGGCAATACAGAAGTGACCAAAACTACCCGAGAGCCAATTACTGGTTTCGTCTCTTTTGGGGGATTGTCAGGTGGATCTAATCGTTTGATTCCCACCACTTTCTCATTTAAATGTGTGTACATAGATGTATTCATCTGCGAATTAAGTTTAGATCAACGTGAATATCTGGTTCTTGATACTCTTCTCTGTATGTGTCCGTCCAATGCGCCCAATAACCACATATCTACTTCAGCTATTGTCTTTTTTATCATCCTTTTCTACCAAAAATACCGACAGGCTGGGAGAAGACAAGACTTTTCGAAGAAAACAATGCCAAGGAATTTGCTAGGGTTTTCTGTATTCATTTGCCGACGAAAGTTTAGACACTTTAGACACATATGCATGATATAGTTCACAAAATCAGGGAGGGAAAAAATGACTTCCGGATGGAAAACTAGAATCTTCAAGCTCAAACCCGACTTCATGTTCTGCGCGCTAAACTTGTATTTATCAGCAGATAAGCTAAACAGTTACCTAGACGGAACACGCTACCCATAAGTTTGCTGAAAGTTCGTCAACAACCCTTTTTGGAGGTCAACAGGAGGCATAGTTCCCGAGTTTTCAGTCCAACCTTTTGGCGTTTTTCTGGACAGAAGTCGTGATATTCGACATTAGGGATTTTACAAATCATACTGAAACTCCCGTCGTGCAGTTCAATGCATGGCGTAAGATCCGCATCAACTGGATCTACTGTGTAAAGGCAAGCAAAGACTGATGATGTTACTGGCTTGGGCCTTTTGTTTTTCGAGTAAACAGCAAGTACCTTGACTAAGGGACGAACGAATAAGAAGGAGGATACTGAGTTAATCAATTGTTGTGAAGATAACTCCTAAGCAATCAACACTGCAAGAAAAAAATTTTAAGGTCATATAAAGCGAAGAATTTTAGTTGCAGCTTCCCAATTCCGATAGCTTGTACAATACTTGATCAGATGAACCAAACCTACATTTGATCAAAATATATTTTACAGAGCCATACAGGTACTAGAAGCTGTGATACGAATTATGTTTGCACTTTGTCCTCCCAAAACACAATTCATATGGAAGGCACATTACATCGCTGAATAGCCCGGTTAAATGGGGCTTTTCGCTGAGAGGTGGACATATTTTTAATAACTGTTCTGTAAGAATGGAATCACTATTATTGCTAAACATGCCGTTCTGTGTTAGAAGCAATCAATTAAATACCGTAAATTTCCATCGGCGCTGAAGAGCAAAGTAGCTGCCCAACATTAAGGGTACTTCGGTGGGACTGTTTACTTTTGGAAAATTTCAACGGTGCAAAACGGTGAAACCTCTTTGCGACAGTTATTTTATTTACTAATCATTGAATATATAGCTTATGTAGTCCCCATAATAGGTTGAACGATCCGCTGTGTAGTAGATATGACGATGCGCGTGTTTTCGAGTGCCCACCTGTTCTTTTTTCTGTACACGACTGAATAGGTTTGAAAGAGTGGCTCGGTGCCAGTCAGCTGTGATCTGCTATGAACGAAGTACATCGTCTAAGTCCACCCATGCTAATCCGATACCTCACATTCAAAGTAGCCCTGATCAGTGCAAAAAGCATCATGGATTATAGGTTAAAACCAGTTTGCCTATTGCCTCAATAGGGATATCATACTGGTTACTTTACTGTCTGAATTCAAATGTATGCTGCTAATTTCTATATGGTCTTTATTTATCGCACCGCGATCAAACATGCGCGAAACCGAAGCTCCAAACAAACCAATGAGAAAGCTTTATTTTTAAACTCCCAATGGCGTCCGTTGTCAATCTATCGAAAAAATCGCGGGCCAACACTTTGATGATCTGGCCTTTAACTGCACTGGATCTCTTTCACAATGACGGGGTGGTCCTCAAAAACTGCGCACGTGATTCCACAATCAAAACATGAAATGGATAGTGCATAACCTTGGGGCAAATGACTGTCTGTTCGTAACTGTTTGACGACAAAGGAAGATATTCAACCAACTCTTACATCTAACTCCACAATAGTGAGAAATTGATACATGCTAAAAGTGGCAAACGTGCCAGTTAATACCAAGCTAGTGATATGATCGCGTCTACACATCACAACAAGTCACTGATACTCTAACCAGAATTTGGCACTCTTTGGCCGATATAAGATGTCAGTCCTGGTACAATGTACCCAAAAATCTTGAACAGAGGTGCTCCTTCTGGTAGTGCTCATCAAAATTAGTAGCGGAAGGAGCTTACTCTGAAGAGTGACCTTTTCAAGGAGGCTCCCTCATCCGGCCCGCTTGAACCGTCAGCCTGCCTTTGAGGATTCCCAAACAACTTACCTGTCCGAGTAGAGATTTCTGTTAGGATTTGGACAAGCGACTTTCTGGAACGCACTGCCCAATTACCGTATCCGTCCGCTATTGCTAATGACTTTGAGTCGATTGGAATCAAAATTTTTGTAATAATATGTACAGCGATTTATCAAAAGATAACTAATATGACTTCTGAAACCTCTTGAAAGCGAGAACTTCTCATTGCCGGTTAATGTGTCGCTGATTAGTCGTATCGCACATCATCTGTTTTGTATGCAACCTTTTTTGTTTTTGGCGCTGATTGCAAAACCATACACGCACAACATTCTTTCGCAATTTGATTCGGTCTGCAATAAGGGCAAGTTCATCAGTCGAAGGCTTTGGTTGTGTTAGGAAGTACGCTTCTAACAAATGTTTCTCCGGATCGGTGATTGATGTCCGTCTACGTCTACGATCCGTCCCGTAGAAACGCATCTCCTCGGAGTAGTACTCAGACTCAACGATATCGTCTTGACCGATAGTCCTGGTCAGTCGTCTTTCCTCGTGTTCTCGTTCCACGATATCCAACCACTCCTCAAGGATGGGCTTTAAAACCAACATGTTGTTGTGTGATAAGGTGAGCGATTCAAACCGACAAATGGTAGACTGAGACAAACACCCGAAACCACCTATCTGGAGACAGCCTAATGCACGTCCAACCTCAGCCTGTGTGATACCCAGTTTCATTCGACGCTGTTTGAATTTGTTGGCGAATGCCCTCAGTTCGTCAATTTCATGTGCACCACTGTACACAGTGGCTGTTACTTGGTCTGGTGTTAGACTTCTGTTTGTGTGGGTTATGGAGTCGTTCAATGCTGTTTCACACTGTCGTGTCAAGAGTGTATCACACAAGTACCGATTGAGGTTTTGTGACAACAAATCAATGCATGATTCACTTGGACCAGTTCGTTTGTCATTGGGTATTGTAAATGAGGGACTTTCACATCTACTACTCACCTTGGAAGTTGGGTGCTCAGACGAAGGCATTAACAGTTGAGTGAAGGCGGACAGAAAACCAAATGAACGACGCAGATTGTCGTAGGCTTGAGCTGAGTTCTGGGCGCAAGTGACTTTACTTCCATGCTTAGCGACTGCTTCACTCCAGTAGGTGGTGGACACCTCCGCGTTATGAGAATCCACTTCGTGGCGGTTTAAATCGAAATTGTTGCCAAAATTTATTTTTGGTTGTTCTGTGTGCAAGGCCTTCCCGTGCCACTCCATCAACACTGGACATTGACCTTCATCTTTCTGAAGGCACTGCTGTTCCTTAATAAGTACTGATTTACTTTGTTCTGGAAGTCTTGTTGTATATTTTGGTAGATCTGTTGACTTAATTCCAGCCAAGTAAGAAATACTCTCCTCATTGTTTGGTCGTTTCTCACTGTTTGCAAAGTAAGATGATTCAGCAGACAAGTTTAATGAAGAAAACGGGCCAAAGCGGAGAGTTTCTGTTTGTAAGTCATTGAAATCCGATGTAGACGGCCCCACACCCGGTGAATCGGTGTAGTACGAATATTGTGAATGACACGCTTCAGCAGCTTCAGCCCTATATGGAAGAGAGTTTGGTGTGATCATGTGTACTGAGTTGGGTACACAAGGTATAGGCTTGCCTCCCCAGGGTTTATCGGATGCATACCCTTCTTTTGAACAACTGGGGCTAGAAACCTTATGGCAATTTGCAGAAGATGAAGAGAAGCTGTCAGATTGTGGTGGACAAAACGCATGCGGGGAATATGAAATCTGACTGAACATTTCTCGACAGTGTGGTCCTTCAGCCGCGCTATAAGAGCACCATTCAGAGCATGGGTTGTGAGGTTCTGTAGAGCTGGGGTTTGGAATAACTTTGCGTAGGAGGTGTGTGCTAATGTCCGTGTCACTCCTAAAATAATTTTCAGCGGTGGTGCTGTGAAAAGTACACTCCACTGCGCCATCCGGATGTACGATTTGATACACACGTGGCTCTGTTAGCTGGCTGGGAAAAATCGGAAAGGCGCCTTGCCGGAAGATGTGAGGGGAAGAAATCTCTGTATCATGTATTGACGAATAAGATGGCATGGAGTTCATTTCAATGGTCGTCGAGTCGGAGCTTCCATTAAAGGAGGCTTGATCGCAATATAAATTCGATTGACTATAGGCCTATAGAAGAAAATGAACAGAGAACCTCAGCATTCGAACAGTGACTCTTCGAAGAGTACAATACAACATACATAGTCTTATAAAGAAATTCTAAGTAATTCTGCTATCTGAACTTTTTACCGTGATATTTCTGTGGTATTCGCCAATCACCTGAGACAAAAGTTTGTGTTAATATTTCAAGGTTCGAAACCAAACGACAAGAAGGTTGCCCATTTCGCGCCCGTGTAATACGCGTTCATTTGTACCGTATGTGACTCACTATCTCGTAAAACACTTTCACCCTTCGTCAGAAGAGGTATTTTTTCAGATGATTGCCAATTACATTCCAAAGTGCAATGAAAATGAGTCATTTTGTATGCGGAAAACGTTCTAAGCAAGGATACTGTCTAAACTCTTCCCCACACTGTTCTTGGTAAAAAAAACAAATTATTTTGTACTTTAAGAAGAAGAATCTTTGACACGAAGGGGAAACGTCGAGTGATCAATTGCAGCAAATCTCACTATCGTAGGTAGATGTGCTGACATACAGGTAAACTTAATTGATTTTCTTGCACCAGGGAAGACTTTGCAAGTCTCTCCACCCACACCCCATTGCAAAATCTGAACAGATGCATAGAATTTCCCCCGCGAGAAATAGTTTCACCTCGACAGTTAGCTATTTATGCTGTTTGTAACTTTGGCCTTCCTAGATGCCTTTCTGCATGCGCTCTTGATTCCGAGACATCTCGAGCCGAGTCGATTGTAGTTGATGCTAAAACAAAGGGTAAAATCTCTCTCTAAAGTTGCAAATATCTAGTGTGTGTTATTATGTTGCACCATATATCTCCTGTCACCGAAAGACCACTTTGCAGCTGTAGCCAGCGGAAAATGATCATAATATCAATCCAAGCACACCTGTAGAGTCACCCTGTTGTCCTAGTGGAGGGGATATTGCAGTCAAATTTCCTAGGAACATTCTATAAATGGTAATGCTAGTTGGACAGATAAAAGAAAATGGAATGGGACGCACGATCAGGAATAATCTAAAGCGATAAAAATCTGTTGTACCTCAAGAACAACCGGCGAAATTAGAGCACATGTGTAGGTATTTCAGTACTGGACAAATTACGCATATAAACGACAGTCCACACGGATCTACAACAGTCTACAAAAATCTCACACAGCTTTTCAGAGGACGAATGAAAGTGGAAATTTCTGATGGGGTGTGCCAGACAGATTAGTCATATAAAATCATCCTTGGTTCTTTATTCAAGTTTCCTTTTGGTAGAGGCTCTCCATTCACTGGGCGTGACTTCCTCAAGTAGATTTTTTTGGTCGGTCCCTTCTTGTGCTGTTCGTAAAATCGGACAACAAGACTAATATGGTTTAGATTACGGGAGAAGACTTTTGTTGCTTTTTTGAGTTTTTTCTAGGAACTGACAGGAAGTTCCGAGTTCATTGTTTTTCCGTCTAATGTAATGATAAGCTAATAAGCATTTGATTGATTTCTGTGTTAGATTGAAATTCATGAAAAATCAAGTGAGAATGATGGGATTCGATATTTAAAGGCTGAGTACTCACTCCTAGTCATTCGTAAGCACTTCCCCGGAGAAATTTATAGCTGTAAATTGTAAGATCTGTGGCTGAATTCACACGAAATAATCTTTTGTCTCGTTCAGCCCAGCACTGAGGGACCGGTGTGCGAAATTTTTAAGTGTTTTTTGTGTGAATAAGCTTGTTGCTTACCATTTCGGCGGCCCAAGTTCGAACACAACATAATTGTCCCAATAATAACTGTCAGCTCCCGTTCTGATTAGCTGTAGACACATGCTGTTTACCATGCACATTGAAATACTTTCCTCATATTACCCAATTTCTAAACACTTCTGTTATCTGCGAGAGGACATGAGACAGCTTTTCTGGCAAGATTTATCTGGCCTGGTGCGATTTGAATCAAGTGGAAATCAAATGACGAAGGGGCTCCGAGTAAAACAAGTGACATGGTGACCATACGTTTATCTTTAAAGCGGTTCTGGTATGAGGACCTTTGAATGCTTTTTTGGACCAAAATCCAGAACCGATTTGTGATTCATTCGATCAATGAATTATTTACAGACACCGTAACCCCATCTGAAGTATCTTCTTAGGTGTAATAGGCATGCAGTTTTCTTGCACGATTGCAAGAGCTGTATTGTTCATTAATTTTACTTAAACTTAAGCCGTCTACTAGCGTGAAATTAATGAACGCCCTTCTCTTCCTTGCAGTTTTCTACTCCATTCTTACTTTGAATGTGACCGCTGCTCGGTTCGATTTACATATAACGTTCATTTGATCGGCCACAACAGTAGTCTAGAGCTTATCTGACATAAATCTTGGTTTGATCATACTTTTCCGTGAATAGGTTTGACAGGGAAATGACCCATTCATCTCGAATGACACGGAAATAGGGTGCAGCGACTGTAGTGAATTGTAAATTGTTTGGAAGCTCTGGGACGTTCTTTTGAAAAACTAACACATCGCAGTAATAAGGTCATTCATTTTATCTATTTGATGCATTCCAACACATTTCAATGAACAGTTGACGAAAAGGTAAACCGTTTTTCAAATAAACGCATACAAACACTCATCAATCTAGGACACCGGATAAACATACAGCCCCGTAGCATCAAACCAAATATGCGTACTCAGCATCGGGACGTCGGGCAATGTTGTGTTGTGACCATAGAAAACACAAGTTTATTCTTATCACCTGGTCAGTGGTATGACTCAAGAGGTCACAGGCCGAAAGTGATGAGGAACCATTTCCCAAACTTACTCTTGGATAGCTTGAATGTCAAAAACTAGGAAACAAATATTTCATCGATAAAAAACAACTTATTATAATTTTTCATTATCATTCGTTAATAAAAAACATCCTGGCAATAAGAACGGCGTGAATTTTAAATGGCAGCGTAAACATGAAACAACTGATTGGGACGCAATGCTGAAGTCGTTGAATATGACGTGCATATTGGATCCCAATAATTCACTTATTGTGCTGCTACTGTGAGAAGAATTGCCTATGAAGAGGTAGTGTTTTCAAGAAAAGAGCATCAGAGAATCATGAGAGAGGATAGGTAAGATCCATTCAAGAGGGCCGCCTTCCAAGGGCGGTGCGAACCACACTCTCTAGTAGAAATATTTTTACTACGAGTATGCCGTAGAATTAGAGCAGACCATATTTGACTGCCCTGAGAGCAAAGTAATGGACGTATGATCAGCCCAGAAAATGCGCTCATCCTCAGAGTTCTTTGAATAACCTGTTCACTAACCGATTCTGGGGGAAACGCCAACAGTTTGTGCGCAACGCCAGTGCGTGAAATAGTTTGTGAGGACATTTTTATCCGCTGTTTATGTAGTGTTTTATGAAGGGTGCGCAACTACTCGTGTACTATTGGTCACACTGGCAGGCGGCTCTTTAGTTGACTCAAGTGGTTAGAGCGCGAATTTACTGACCGGAAGGCTCGTGGTTCGAACCCGACCTCTGCCTCTCGACTTCCCCTGTCTAGGCTTGGGCAACCTGGCAGTATCCCAGCCTCGTGCTTCCTTCGGGTAGCATGGCGGCTAGGCATCGGAAGGGTGTTACAGCTGAGAAATTTTAAAAAAAGTTTTAACCTCTACTTTAAGTTTGTATGGCTGCTGGATACTCATACGAGCTTCTACAGATGATTCCCGAAATAAATCAGACGGTACCTGGAAGCCCTTCTATGTAGGCTCATTCAGCTTTTGGCGACAGTCACACTAAATGAACCCTATCGCCGCTGTAACACTAACTAGACGACACGTTTCTCTACTCATTACTATAATATACTCGGTCAATTTATGATTTAAGACTCTCAGCTGTTCTGATTCGCTTTGGAACAACCAGTGAAAATATATGAACCAAAATATTAGAACATCACTCAGTGTTCTTGAGGTTCTGTTGAACCTACATAAACCCGAACAGTACTTTCCCTAGTGGTCAGCGAAGGTGCTTCATGTACGGTTCTTTAGGTGCATATTCTAGGGACAGTGGCTACATGAAAGATCAACGCACTAGAAACATTTCTTTAAGACTGAATTAAATAGGACATGTCTCAAGTTTGGAACGTGAAATTATATTTTTTTTACGTTGTAGCAATTTTCTGAATGTATCGATTACATGAATCTTCCATTGGACCCAAGCTGCTATGAATAGACTGCTGAACTTTGTTGCCAGACACAGTCAGTTACTGACAGGTATGCAATGTTGACAATACATCACCAACCCCTTTCATACAAAACCCAAACAGGTAAGCGGTTTGTCATAGATCTTGTGCTAGTTTCAAGAGTTTGTACGTAGCAATTTCCAGCTCTGTCAGTCCCCTAAGAACTTCCGTCCTCATCTAAGTTCCTACAAATCACTTGGTCGCCAGATGCAAAACAATGACTTCGAACTAGCGTACCGCATGACAGTTTGGCCTATCTACCTGTACAGGTGTGGCGCCCCACTGGTTGATGAATGTCCTAGCTGTTTTCGACGAGTGATCTATGCAAATGTTGTGCTGACCTGTTTGAAAACTCATGGGATCGATCGAGCCCATATCAGCTTGACTAGCATGTACCTTCTTGCACTAACCCTTAGTTTATTAATCAGATAACGTCTTTATAGGTTGTCCGAAATCGTGAGTTTGGAATCATTCAGATCACCTAGATCGTTAGTGAAACGGCCAAGCTAATGTCAACCCGTTTTTGAAACGGTGACCTTTCGACTTTGGTGATTTTACTGCTAATCGGAGTACATCACAGGTGGACAATGAAAATCTTAGATAGGCTTAAAGGCCTCGACAACGCTAATCATGGCGTTTCGCTGAGCCTACACTAAAATGATCATTGCAAGGGTCGCGTCCAATTCTTACCTTTCGTTGGTGAAAAACTACGGAAAACCATGTGAAAGTCTCGAGAGTAGCCATTTCACTTTAGACTGCTTTCTAGCGAAAGTCGCAGCCGAATATTCTCACCAGAAACTAATTTTGAGCATCTGCACACTGGGGAATATCCACAGAATTCAGCATGAAGGAGATTTTCATTATCAGGCGAAAAAAACTTCGAGGGTGAACTTCGACTTGCAAAAACAACACAAAATGGGTCCAAGGCAATAATAATGGACTGTTATCCAAGGCTACCAAGGTCATCCAACAAGCCTGAGAAGCCAACCTGAAGCCCGTGAACATTAATCCAATAGAGTGAGAAGATAAAGCCCTTAAATTTCTCCTGCAGCATCAGCAAATATTTTTTTTAAATTACAGCTTTGGTTCATCGAAAATATGATCAAACACCAAAAAAATTTTCACTAAGAAATAGTTCAAGTTTATTGAGGCGGATAACAATCGACAACTTGTATACATTTGTAATGTACTACTCATAAGGTTGCTGAAAATCCGTCGACAGCCGACGACCGGTTTCGCCTTTTTCGGGTTCATCAGGTAGGCGCAGTCCCCGGATTTCCGTCAACCTTATGTTCTAATGAAACCAGCAACTTTATGAAAACCTTGAAATCAGCAACCCTATGAGTAGTGCATTACAAATATGTACATGTATCACGATATCTCGAATGTCGTAGCGACTGAAACATGAGGCGGCCTGGTGCAGCACATTCAGTTGCCTGGAAATATCAAAAACGAGGGTTTCAGTTGGGTGTTAGGTGAATCTCTCGAAAAACCAACTTAGTTTGCAAATGAGTGTATATTCGCTAATCGACAACTTGATTTTCAGGTGACAAATTCCGCAGTCAATTTCCTGCTTTTAGTTATCGCAATTTTTCAACAAACACCATATCAATTTTCGAATCACATCCTTCTCGTGAATTGATAAGCATTGCGGAAAATTATACCAATTGGTTCAACCGTCCAATCATTTTGCTGGCTGGTAAGAACGTAATTGGACACTAACTATCATTCGTGGCACCGTATTTAGAAGTGACTGACTTCTCAAGGCAAAATGTGTTGCTCAGTATGAAGTCATTATCAGAGTACCATGTGAAGCACTGTCTGCTGTCTAGCTAATAAACCTCAACTAGGAAAAAGTTGGTGAAACTTGGAAAGAAAGATATTGGTTACTTCTGTAGAAGGGGCTGACGTCAAAAGTAGAAGCTTAAGAGAAGCTGAATCGCACGTCGTGCAAAGAGATTGGCATAGCTGAAGCGTTCGCATGATACCTACTTGGGTTCCTGTGCAGGTTGTTTGTCATACTCACATTTGCATAAGTCTTTCGTATGGAAGTCGTACAATGGTAATAACGGTGCTGACAGAAAAATGTTGATTTTTCGGGCAGGCTCATGAAAAACCAATGCGGAAAGCTTGCCTACACGCTCGATATGAACCAGGGTCTGAAATAGCAGAGCGGTGCGGCACTCGTGTTACAACCATGGAACTATGGGTATGCTTCCAGCCTTCAGTGTTCTGTTGCGTTCTGTCTGTTGCGTTGTAATTACGCAGACAACCATCCGAAATTTCCGCGTTTATTTGACAAATGTTATGAAACATCAAGTCTTCCTCGCGCTCGTCCTGAATCGAGACGGCGCAGTGTCTTCTTCTGAGACCTCAAACCGTTCACTCATATTGCACCCTCAGCATTTAGCCATCATTAACACTTAGGTGGTTCTAGGGTTGAAAAAATGCTAGAATGTCCAGCTTTTGGACTGTAGATCGGTAGACCAGCCCTCTTAAACGAGAGAAGTGGCAAAATCACAGCCTACTTTGAGTACTAACCTACTTCTCATTAGCACACTGCTGAGGCACGGATGCACAATCGGGCTGGATGGAACACTTAATAGCAAAGGAAACAACCTTCCTCTATAATGGATTTCATGATAATTCAAACAGACAAAGATAGTGAGTACACACTAAAATCTTGCCATATTCCACGTGCCTAGAAAAGCAAACAGTGCAGTGTGTGATTATATCGGGCGTTTCACCGAACTAACGCAAGCCAAGCTGTTCCAGCTGACTGATTCCTCTTCACCGCGAAACTAAAGCTAGACATATCAGTAAAGAATAACACCAATCATATCAAGGGAATATAGCTGAGCCGCAAGAACGTTCTGCTTTCTTTCTCCGCGTTTCATCCTGGATAATGCAGATAATCTAGGATTCACCCAATCAGATCATTTCCGCATCCACCGAAGAAACCGTAGCCAACAGGCAGCCAGTCATGTGATATAAACCCACAGCCCGGATGATACAAGGCATTAGCTCTTGCAGAAGCAACTTAATCATACTACTAACTCATGTATCGGATTACGGATTTGAAATTCTAACCTTTCAGGACTCGCAGAAGAGAAGAAACAAATGAGTACCGTTCACAAAACTTGACAGTCTTTTCTTGAGAACACGACTCCTAAAATCGATGTCTGAGTTACCTCCTTAATACTTCACGGAAAATCGAATATTCATGAAGAACTGAAGAGCGCACGCTGTGAATTGTAAAAGTACCCAACTTACTCTCTATAAAGCGGGTTAACGGGGAAAATGTTGATGCATGTTAACTTGTAACCCCAAAATACTCCGCAAAATAGTTATGCTTTAAATAGAGAAAATTTTCTGCTCCACTATCCTATAAAAAACTTTGAAAAGCACTTGATGACTTCACTCCACTTGATCATTGGCAAACGAACCTCACGTGTGTTGGAAATGTCATTTTCTGCACAGAATGACATCGTTTTTTCACGAGGATGTTGATCATAGATTTAAAAGCTCTAAATATCTTCTTCGTACTATGTCAATGAATGGGGTAAAATACAGTAACACTTCGCTGGACCCTAATTACGTTTGCGTTTCTGTCGGTCATTAGCCACACTCCAGAATCAGTTTGCTAAACTGTGCTGAGGAAATTCTAACATCTCACAGCCAATCGTGTGTGTGTATGGTCTACTGAATAATCATAAGGAAATCTGCGACATACGGAAATATACTGTCAGAGCGGTTCTTGAAAATTTCGAAAGGCTTTNATGTTATTAAAACTGCCGGGTGTAAAAAAACCTATATGAATAGGCCTGCGCATTGAAACATTAATGTACGATTTGATGATGTCATTTCGACTGGTAACAAAAAACTTACAACCTAACTGCTCAGATCAATAAACACTACGTAAGTCAACCATACCAACCATACCCTTGAAAGTAAAGGCGGTTCATTCATTTTCCGGTAGTATAAACTCAATTGTGACAAGGTCCATATGCTACCAGCTACCCACCCTTTCGCTAAATTCGCTACTACACTTAGTAAACAATTGACCCGTGAGTCAGGTACTAGATACACTTGACTTTGGTTAAACCTAACTCATGTTAAATTAGGCATTACATCGACTAGATGTGTTTTGGTTATCAGCGAGTCAAGGACAAAATTGAGGGATATCACTCGAGGCAAACTTCAATAAACAAGCTTTCTTCAAGCATCCGCGAAATTATGATTCTGAGTACATTCCATTCTGAATTCCAAATCAAGCATTTTTGTCAGCCAGACTTTGCATAACTGCTTGGATGGGCAAGCATGTTCTACTGATGCTTCAATTGGGGAAACACTTTCAGCAAAACGCTTGCAGAGTATTTCTCCTGGTCTTCTTTGAAACAAAAAGGCCAATGTCAGGATTTTCCACTGGGGATATACAGATATCCACATCCAAGTTATATGAAAGAATTTTGGCGCCGGATCAGCTCAACCAAGATTACCGCATCTACTTGAAATTTCTGGAGATTAATAACTGTGAGATACTGATTGAAGAGTTTTTTATCCATAGGGGACGAACTACTCATAGGGTTCCTGAAAGCTCTTCGACAACTCACATATGACACACTCATTTGTATTCAGCTGTGTCTTCCCTTAAAATCTAATTACTGTGAGAAGTAGTGCATTTTGCGGAGAACTGCTTTAATTCACATGGTTTTGAAGTGCTCTGCTAGGTCCGTTATTTAAACAGTTTCAAAAATGACCCAGTCTACCGCATCAAGTCGCTGACGATGTTACCTAAGCATGTACATAATTGTTACTGACCGCTGTTTGGTCAAGTTTCCAGCAGTTCGAATTTACTATTAGTCCTGTGAACTTTATGTTCCTTAACACTGAGATGCTATGGTGAGTGGAAATTAGACTGCTTTTCTTAGAGAACCAATGAATCTACCTTTGAAAAATTCGCCATTTGCTAGGAAACTGGGTGCCCGTTAACCGCACGATGCCCTTAGCTGCGAAAAAAATAGTTAAAAAATAGATAAAACTTTTTACGCCAAAAGTATCGTACTCTGAACTCAATAGCCTGTCTCTTTTAGTCCGGCAGGGCACGTCGTATCCTTCGAAAATTCAATCCCATTGTACGAATACTGAGCGCCAGGACACTATACAATCTACACTTCATTTTCGTGTTGAGCATTATTCCGCCTTTGTTGCCGCGCGTGAAAGGGCTGTTATTCTAGCTGTAAGACAAGGCGCATCTTATCTTAAGTTAGCGCTTCTTGAAGCCTGATTTTGTTGAAATTATAAATACATTATTCACAGATGCTTTCGGGTAAGTGAATGAAACGGATGAACCCACTTACGAAGAGCGTTTTGAACAAAGCTGGTTAGCAACTAGGGCGTCTTTTGGTGTGTACTGCTATGTAGTGAACCTAAAAACATGTTTAGCAAAACTATCTTTCACCGAACCAGTATGGTTATTTTAATGGTGGTCCCTGACAGGATGTAGTCAGAATTACGCTTACGTTCGTGAGTGTACTGGTAGGAACATTCATAGCAATCGGCCATAAACAAAAAAATGACTAAAAAGCAACGTGTATATATGTTCAGCTTACGTCCTGAAAGTAACAGAATCCATTCTCGTCGTAGCCGGTCATCATCATCTTCCCCGTCCTGCTGAGGAGTTTAAAACCTCATGAATGTTCATTGTCATTCAGTATAGCTGTACATTCACTGCGGGTAGAGGGAGACAGTGGACTAACGCTAACCAATCAAGTAGGAGCTGGAGGAAGAGGATAGAAAGCCGTCATCTTCACTGTCCAATCAAATTTGGATGCGTGCGCTCACCTCCCGTAAAATGTGGCTGTCGAAAGAGAATATTCACCTGCGCGCTTCACTTGTGGGTAGTGCTGTGGAAACAATGATGATTGTGAAACTATTCAAACACAGCTACGTCTGGAATCCTCCACACAATACGGATTATACAGTATGCTGTTCTTCATCTCTGATGAGTTAATCTCTTTGACGAGACCAGTAGACATGAGGTCAGGAATCATCTTCACTTCGTCACCGAAGGACACTGTTTTCTCACCACAAGTTCACCGAATAATTAAGCACCTGATGCATTTTACCTCGCTTGGATGCAGTGGACTTTGTGGGGCAGCACTGAAATGACAAAGAGTGACTAACCGAATCTTCCGTACAGAACAGTAGTTAGGTGAAAAGCACATTATGAGGCTGATTGAATGTTTCTAACCACTTTGTAACGCGCATTACGTCACAAATTATGGTCCGGAAGGAAGTAAAAACATATTTACTCCTGATTAACTTATTTTGTTGTCAGTAGTTGCTGGGGTTATCATGTGTAAAGATATTACTGTTGCCATTTGATTTCGCTTGTTGGCCCAAGCTTTGTCCACCACAACAGTAGTAGGGCAAACACTAAGTTGAAGGTTGCTGAAACCAGAGGAGTCCACGATGCGAAAAGAACCATTTCTTCGATCACTCATTGAAGCAACTCAGCTGTCATTTTGAGGTCAGAGTGCATCAGGCCCCTTTTCACAGACTCTCCTGCTTTTCAGAATTCTGACCGAAAACCACATTGCTAACTTGACAACTGATCACAATGAATAAACTAGCGTTTGAAAGTCCGGTAGACAATAAAAAAACCATAAAATATACTATTTCTAGCCGTAATGCAGTGAAACTGTGAAAACTAAATTCAGTAAAGTGAAACATTTTTCACTGATCGATCTACTTAGAAATTGCAAAATAATAGGAAAGGGCACGTGAGCACAACCTCCAGTTCTTTTTTCCTTCAAACATATTTCAGTGCCCTTTAATCCAGAGTCTATCATTCGGTAAAAAACTGAAACAAACGCAGCATTTGAAAGGACCTATTTTGATTTCAGAGAGTTTATTGCATGAAAAGGCATTGTAAACCTCGTAGGGAATTTCCTCCTAAGCACCAATTTGCACTTTAGTTAAAAAATCTGGATTCACCCTGCGTTAGGTGTTACCAGCTTATTTATGCTAGCAGTAGTGGAAGAGGTTCAAAAGCGCTTTAGCAAGATGTCTGAAAGATTGTTGTTTCGAGATATGTGAAACATATAAGTACCTTTTGCAGTCTCATAATGTTCTTTTTATAAATGCGTTTCCAGAAAGCAGCGATGCACTCAGCATCGCTTCGCTAAACTTTTCTTCCAACGATGGAGACATTATATTCTTACGGTGGGGAATATTTATTGAGATTGTAAACTCATTTTCAAATGTCGGCGTTCCGGAAACTTGATTTTGCAAAGTAAAAAGGATGCCAACAGGGAAATGGCAAAGCTGGGTTCACGTCTCAAGAAACAGGGGATGTGTCGACCGTCTCACAGTTCTTGATTGATTATGAGTGCTGTGATAAAGGGGACGTAATGTTTTGTTATGGTACACAGTAAGAAAACTGAAAAAATATATTCAAGGGTGCTAAAGGCTGTATGGACTACAGCAGTCTTCTGAACTGATGTCAGTGGGTGATAGGGAAGACCACTGTCTGGTTTGGAAGAGGTGTGGATCATTTGAAGCTTCTTGAACCCCATATTTATTCTCTGCATCCACATCAACAAGCTGGCTATGTTCACATCTCTTTCATTGCCAAACCAGCCGTCGCCGTAGCCCTCTGAATCTAACACCGTATATGTCAGCATCGCAAGAGATTAGTTATGTTTTATATGGCACACTTTGTCACTAGATGTCCACTTTTTATCCGCTTAGTAGTGGGGGTTCTCTAATTTTTTTTTTGAAGACAGCAATGAGCAACGGAGGAAGCCAAAAATTGGCTCTTAAGGATAGAAGCATGGACAGTTGGATTTTCAGCTAAAACCCGAAGGAGTTCTCCCAGACAGTCTTCGGCCTCTTCACCTTGCGACACTCAAGACAAAGAGAAAGTGATTCCCCTCCTCTATTGTTCAAGGAAATCTAAGTACACTGGCCAGTAACTAGTATTTGTTATTCGTGCAATCGTGAGGTATATTTGAGCTGCTTGGGCGGAAAAACAACGTTATATATCTCTCCTACTCAGGTGCCCGGTTCTTATTCAGCATAGGAGACCGTGAAGAAATTATTGATACTTCGCATATGGTCCAGAATAAGTAAACAGAAATTAGAACTGGTCGTTTGCACAGGACTTTGAATCCAACAGTTATTAGTTATGGAGCTTTCTGAACAAGCCCTACTATGGGGGAAAATGGAACACGACTTGTGGTTGTGCTCTACACTAAGGTATGCTTTCGTTGGCATCCTCTACACAATCAGTTTATAAAGAACAAAGCACCCAAATTACTTGCCTCCACAGAGTGAAATGACAAAAGAACAAGTTTTCAGAAACTACTGAGTACACCTTAGTAGTTGAAACGCTTTTAAAGGGGTGCACCAAGAGCAATGCAGTCGAATTAGTGAGACCTGCGACCCCAAGATACCGTGTTCAGTCGGAGAATGAGTTTGCTTCTGTCGCAAATCAAAACATGGTTTCTTTCGTTCTGTTTATTCATAATTGTTGCAAAATCCAGCTGAAGGATGCGCTAGTTAATCAACGCGTCCTGGATAGTAAAACGATGACTAGGAGGCTGACAGCAACCCATGTCTTTTATCCGTCAGCTCAATTTTTGGTGCCTTGCATCGGGTAACAATGATTCCATGCAAGCAAGCACATATCGTGCGGTTGTTTCTGCGTCGTGATAAAAGGTGCAACTGTTCAGAGAGAGAAAAAGCGATTAGGGCAAACGAAAAATTTAGAAATGAATGTTTACAAATAAAGTGCTGGGATTCGGTGTAATGTGCAAATTCGATCGTTCCAAACTACCATGAAGACGAATCACAGCCCTCGTCAGAAATGCAAGTTCCTGCTGTGTCGTGCTCGATGAACCGCGCTAAAGCATTACAAAGCCCAATAGAAGACAGAAAGTTGGGTAATGATAGAAGACGTTGAATAAATTCTAGACAGAAATAAGAGGATTGATAGATGGTGATCGATCAACCTCAGCTACATCGAGTGTGTGTGTGTGTGTGTGTGTGTGTGTGTGCATAGCGAATAGGAAACATGGGAGTTTGTTCGGTTCCACTGTCGTTGTCTCCAGTGCAAGCCCACTGCTCTGAACGCCAGTTTCTGTAGTCATCTTTCACTGCGCGATCGGAAAACTGAAATCTTTCTAAATACAGTCCTTACCTCGCTTAGCGGCCTTCGCCCCAATGTCAGTTTCTCCGATACAACGAACGACCCTAATCAACAAAGCTGATTAGGGTGGGATTTGAAGAGAAATTTTGTAGTTAGTTGATTTTCACGGTCGTGTTTATGGTAAAACAGATGAAATTATTGTCTGTTTGGGGCCCTCTACATTCTTCTGCATTGCGAAGGAATTCAATGTAGCGTTGACCTCTTTCCTAGAGAGAGCACTCCAAGTAGACATCAAAACCTCATAGAAGACAGGTCTGGTAGTCCTTTGAAGCAATACATGAAACCTAAAGCCGTGCTAAGTATATCTGTCTGCTCGGAAGGTGAAATATCCACCCCGGTTGCGCTGCTTGCTTTCTGGCCATGAATTCGTTGGTTTCGATTTATCTGAAGTGCACCGCATGCTAGATTTACCAAAGTTTTACAAAAGCAAACTACCGCTTTGTTTAGTTTTGTAAATCAACAATAAAGAGTCGTTCCCAGCAACCTGTAAGAGGAATTTCTTGTTGTGTAACCCCTCTTACCTTTCGTAATGCACTACTCATAAGGTTGCTGAAAATTCTTCGACAACCCAAGACCGGTTTCGCCCCTCCTGGGACTCATCAGGTAAGGGCAGTCCCCGAGTTTCTATCAATCTTATGTTCTACTTGAAAACATGAAAGCATGAAATTGGCGAAATGCCCTCATTTGAAAACAAATTTGGTTTTGCGAGAGACTCAACTGGAATCCAGCTGAGTCTCGTTTCTGATGAGTAGTGCGTTGCGAAAACACATGTATCGAGTATTTCGAATATCATAGCAATTGAAACATGAGGCAGCCTTGTGCAGAACATTCAGTTGCCTGGTGACATCACAAAAGAGAGATTCACCTGGGTTCTATGTGAGTCTCTCAGAAAACCATAGTTGTTTGCAGATTAGTGTGGCTCTCACTTTTGATCTTCTTAATATTTTCTCCTCGGATTTACCAGCTTGGCCCAAGTTTGCCTACTGCTTTTTTAGGGGGGGAGGCATTGATTCAGAGGTAATCGAGTGTCCAATAAGCGCTGATTTCCTCGGCTTGTTGGATCTGCATATGATAGGTAAGAAGATGGATTTTGCTTAAATATTTGCAGTCCAGGATAAAATTACCGATTTTTAAGTGGTATTTTTCACTGTCAGACATCCATACCATCTTATTGTGTCCTCTCACTTCATCATCACAAGGGCACACAACCTCTTTTTGTGTTCCCCAAATGATAAGAATTCTTAGGGACTTCAACCCATCTTTCCATTATAAATTAAAGATGTGGCCGGATTCATTCATGTCTCCCGTCAAAACCAAATTCAAATACAAACGTGAGGATTTGACAAGCACCCTTGCTTAGTTTAATAATCGAGTCAACAGTAATTTTAATATGGTTGTCCCATTATCTGGATGACAAACGTTTTGGGCTAAACCATCTTTATTCCTAACTGTCATGAAATACGTTGGCACCAGACTGTTCAGCTGATGCATCTATGTGGACGTCAAATAGGATATGAGTAACCCGAATCAGGTAATAGTCGCACGCATTTCGCCCCCATTGTTATTGTTCTCTCAAAATGACGTGCAAAGGGGAGGCACAATCGAATGGTGGCAAATGGACAGTACAAGACGGTTGACGTGAAGGCAACATGCACGAAATATGACCGACCAAGAGTGGAACGGCTAGAAATTTCTGAGAGGACATACTTAAAGGCCCTAAAATGTTGCAAGCAGTGGTGTGCGAAAAAAGTTGATCTATACCAACAGAATCTAGCTGGAAAAGATACCACTTCACTACAGGACAAATCGGCATCATGATTCGAGGGAAAATACTTGCGAGGTTGAAGCTATCTTACATCCCTGGCGTCAGCAACATAGTGAATAACGATACAGTGAAACAAACAATTTTTTCACAATTATTTGCTGAGTGACTGGCGTACTTGAAAGAGGATTTAGAATAACTTATGTAGTAAACTTCCATAGGAGCAAAATTTTCGTGATGAAGTCTCGGGGACATAAAGCCCTTGTGGGAAACACATGTTCATGATCTGATGACGAACGTGGGAAAGTTGAAAATGTGAGTAATAGTCAATCCACGTAGAACAGAATTTTCAACCAGTCATAGCCTGCGGTCTATGGGGTAAAGTATAAATAGTGTGACTACGATGCTTGAAATACTGGTGTTTGTAAGCCAGAAAGCTAAACTTGCTTCTGGAATTCAGGCAGTAGTCATAATTTCTACTCAGTAGTTGCATGAATCCTCTTAGGCGGGAAATTATACCGAATCCTTTTTGAAAGTTTGGGAGCTACAACTGCTGTTAAATTCGGAAGTAAATTTAGTTAATTTGCCAGCCATACGTACATCGTCTGAAAAATGTATTCCAGTGAGCTCAAACGATGTTTCTTTTAAAGGGTTTTCAAAATGTCTATCCTCTCTAATTTGAGGAGTTTTCGCCTAACGAGAATTTTCCTCTTATATCTTGAGGGAGGGACAGTTTTAATTCATCACCTTTTGTGTATTAACGCCGAGGGCTGTCGTTAACACAGATTTGCGAAATAATTCTAAGGATATCTTAGTAACCATCTGCTCCAATTTCTAGATTTTATTTGTAGATGATGGTGTCTAAGTGTGAACCTTGTCTTTCTCAAACAGGTAGCATAACACATTCATGGTTATTTATATCAGGTGTTTCCTATGCGACATATTGGGGAGTTATATGAAGAAAATCGTTCAGCTGTAACACCCTATCGGTGCCTAGACTCCATGTCACGCGAAGAAGGAATGAGGACTAGGATACTGACAGATTGCCCAAGCCTAGAGACAGGGGAAGTCGAGAGGCAGAGGTCGGGTTCGAACCATGGACCTTCCGGTCACTAAATTCGCGCTCCACTTCGTCCATTTCGAGCTATATGATGCCCATACGCTGTCTCTTAGGGGATGTGAGGGCTATTATTAGGACGATTATTAGAGCCCAACCATTGACAATTTCTCTTTCTGGCTTCTTAGCTTTGACTGATTCAACCTGCAGTCATAGTGTAAACTGAGAATCAAATATAGACGAGACAGGCTGCCAGAAGCATTGGAACCTCCATTCATTTCGACAAAAACTAGAGATGCTGTGTTTCTAGTGGCACTCGATGCTGGTCTAAAAATGTCACGTAGTTTGATGGAACTAGCATGTAATCGGCGGTTGTCTCATTTTGATCCATTTTGTAGAGTGATATGGGAGGGACTGTGTTACGAAATTTTCCAGTTTGCTTGAAAATCTCCATAGATGCAGTTGAAAGAGTAATTTAGACAACTATTAGGCATTATTTCAAGTTGGTTCTCTGACAGTATCTATCGTGTTTCATGACGAGCTGACCCGAGACAAAAATAGTGCTCTCAACTCAGTTTCTCCTTTCTGCTTAAGTAAATCTGCCCTCTATTTAGTACATTTTTGAGCGTTTCTCTGCACTCTATGAAGGAGTATAACATGGTTGTTGAAAATCTCTATTCCATCCCACCTCAGAAACAGGCATAAAGTGGGATATATTGCAATAGGAAACTTTCGTCAGTGACTTGAACTATCACTAACAATTACAACCAAAATGTAAGTTTAAAATTCCAGAAGAATTTTTTTTTAAATCACCATCCAATTTTTTCTGTTTGTTTCTTTTGGATACATGAGCTACATGGGACTGGGAAACATATCCAAAGACTGAGTTTAGAAAAATGTTCATCGTATTGGTTTAAACATCCGAAAATAATTTTTCAAAGCAAACTACAGCTACAAAACGACCCCACAGTCCAAGCACGTCGACAGTTTAAGATTACCCACACCATTTGGAATTCGGATGAGGCGAAAACTTATACAGTACAGCCCACATAATTTAAAGACCTGTCTCAGACAATAATTTTCAAGTGATTTCGGTCTGGAGAGACGACACCGTTCGAGCGACTGTAAATTCGATCAAAGCAGACAGTTTCGCCTAGTGTCCTTAATATATCCGCATCGTCTGAATGTACATCGGTAGTCAACCAACTTAGACAACGGCGACGGTCATCTGAGCATCTGCTGAGCATTAGAAAAGCATCAGTGTGTCTGTACAACTGCATTGCCGTGTAGATGCTGATGGTGTTACCAGTGACACGGACTCGCATGCAAATCAAAAGTGTTAGTTAGACAGCGCGAAAAAAGAACTTGAAGACACGTGAACCCCCCCTGATGTGAACTTACGCTTCGTAAATTTAAGGTGCATAACTCACCAACCACCATATTTTAGGATGAACTGATTAGCTATTCCGGTGGAATGGTATAGCCTTTTGGTCAGGATGGAGGTTGTAAACTCTTGGTTCAAAAATTGGATTCAATAGAGGGCCATGTGTGTATGCTTGTGTTAAAGGGTGAGTGAAGACGGTAGGCTGGCTCCAGACACAAAGTTAGGTTGCGGCTTTTGAACACTTCCTAAGTATTCATCTGTGCCACCCAATGATCGGCTAAAAAGGCACAAAAGGTTCTGTATGTGGGGGACATCAAAGTCACTCGAAGCCAATAACCGCCTGATTGAGATGCTGTCAAGCTCTAGCAGACTAGTCATTCTTTCACCATTTTCGGCAGTTGTTTGCAAACATGCGTATTTTTTATTGTCAGTGACTATTAGTAAGAGAAAAAACAGCGTCATACTTTTTTTTAAAAAAAAAGTCACTAGCTCCTGTTGGCCAATCCTTAGTTCTCACCAATCAACAAGGACCGGATTTGCACTTTCTGTCTGAGTGGTATTGCTGGAATGGACTGCTAAACAGTTGTGAACAGTACAAACATTCGGAAAAGAATGAATTTAGAATAACAAGAAATGGTGGACAGGGGCACCATCGAAACCGAGGACGGAAAGCTCCCTTTTTGACGGTTGCTGAAATAAAAGCACTTTCTTTATCAAGACGCTCAATTATTTCGCCGTAGTTTTGAGCATATATAGCTAAAGTGGTTGCGGAGAACGGTGCTATATATAAGTCCACATTAGTCGTTGATCGCTATGTTTTCTGATTTCACTGCTTCCTACTTAGTTCTATTAGCATCCTTTGGTTCTCAAGGCCGGTTCAACTACTTGCAATCTGGACCGACAGTGTCGCACAGACCGTTAATTTTTTTGAACAGAAGTTCCACGTTTCGGCAATACCCTGTAGTGTCTGTAATCCGTTGTCACATTCACCATTCTTCCTGAACTTAAACCACACTTTGTAACTGTCGTACATATTGCATCATGACGTTTGTTTTAATGTTACGAATACACAATTTTCCGGTGCGACCTGCTGACTTCTTGCTGAACAAGTGTATTTACGCTCCGTTGAACTGTTTGTTGAACCAGTGGGACTAGATCTCTGTGTTTGTGCCAACTGTTGAACGTCACAATAAATCCTGGTGACATTTTTTAGCCGTGAATAATTTTCTTGTCGTGGAATATATCACTCACGTGAGCCATCCGTGGGAAATTTCGACGTGTGAATATTTACTTTCACAGCCGGTTACTGCATTTGGATCGGTGTAGCGGACTATTGGATCTACGCAATTCGTGAGTCCTCATTTGAGTCCTATTGTGATCTTGTGATTTTGTATTGGTTACTTAGTTTGTTAATTTATTCGAACACGCCGATAACGTCCTAGTCCGTTACAACCCATGTGCTGGTGGTAGCCATTTCGATCTCACTGCCAACTGTATTGCTTGAACTTTTCCAGCAATTTTATTTCAAGTTTCATCTATTTTCCATTTTAGTCCTCACTTTAATTTCTCGGTCTCTCTCACATCGTGACTATCAGTCTTGCTAGCATGCGGATCAAACCACATGAAATGCGAATAAGAATGTAACCGATTCTTGATTGGTATAGCAAGACCTCCTCACGGACTACCCCTTTCATCCATGTACTTCAAAAAAGTTCGGGACGTCGTAAATTCGCTGGCTTTGATCATCGCGCGTAAACGAACAGACCGATCAGAGGCTGAATAGCTAATTCCACTTTGGGCCACTTATTTCGTACCGTTGATTTTAATAAACCTTGTGTTCAATAAACTGATCTCGCTGGAGTCCTATGGAG